CTGCCCGCAGGGTTGAACACTCCCAGTTGATGTGAGCGTGTGGGCGAGGTCTGCGAAGGTGTGATTTGATGCTGGATACAAGTGTGTGTATGTGTGTATGTGTGTATGTGTGTATGTGTGTATGTGTGCGCGTAGGTAGGTGTACTGTAGGTGTAGGTGTGTTATGTGTGTATGTTGTGCAGGCCACAGGTGAGTATTTTTGGACGGGCACTTTTCTGGACGAGGAGAAGGCGCTTGGGCAGGTTTCCAATGGCGGTGACGGAGAAAGTCGCTTGGCTACCCGTACCTGTTTTGTGGGAGGGGTCGACGGGTAAGGATGATGAGCTGCTGTGTACTTCTACATGGAGAGTAGAGTACATACATAGTAGGTTCATAGTAGGTAGGTAGCGCGTGCTCGTGTCGCCAGCCAGTGACTGACAGACTGCATCGTGGTGACCCGTGGGATCCCGTCACCCCCAGCTTGACAAACACCACTGCATCACCACCCTCTCTCTAGCAGACCCAGTAGCGAACGCATCTTGGTAGTCGTGTATATAAGACTCCCTCTCCAACTAGCCATCTTGGCTATCTCAGTCTTGTCACCCTTTATGCCGCACCCAAGCCTTTGCCCACCAAAGAGACGTCCACAAGGCAGTGGCGGCGATTGTGCCTTGAGTAATCAACGCAGTTAGCTCCGATCTTGCCAAGACAGCAGATCACGTGTCGAGGCTAACTGCACATGTCCACATGCACCCACTCACCGTGCCCCATGGTTAATGAGTGTGATGAAGGAGATGAGTCCGACAACAAAGACATGAATCATCATATACCAAGCCCTTGTCATATATTCAATTACTACAAGCATACTCCATTGGCAATCATCTCGTTGATATCATGCTTACACACCACCTATTTGGCCTCCATCACATCACGATGCGTATCCGCCCTCGGCGCACCATTGGCAGTATTCCTCTCCGCATACTTCTTGCTAATGCCATCCATCCCATTCGCAACCCTCAACTTGGCGTCCTTGGTCATGCCATTGTGTGTTCCATTAAACCTCAACTCACTAATGCCATTGTATCCTTTGATCCCAGTCGCCTTCTCCATGCGGCTGGCAATGTCCTCACTGACCTCTCTAAAGATACCAATCTGGCGCTTGATAATCTCCTTATCCGTGCAATTCTCCATGTGTCCCGTGATGTTGCTAATGAAGCGCTCCCTCGCGCCGTCATCAAACACCTTCTCCCAGAGCGCACGGGGAGCGTTGAAGTCCTCCGGGCGAATCTCGGAGAGGAAGGTGATGGCGTCGCCAGCGAATTGGCCATGTAGCTTGTCCAGGTCCACAGTGCGTGGACGGAAAGAGATGGGCTCGATAGAGGACAGGTAATTGGGACGAGAGCCTTGGTTGTAGAAAGCCATGCTACCGTCACGCTGGAAGTTACCCATCCGGTATGGCACTCGTGGCGCGTTCACGGGCAGTTGCTGGTAGTTTACTCCGACTCGGTGACGGTGCGCATCCGGGTAAGAGAACAAGCGAGACTGTAGGACAGGGTCCGCCGAGGGCTCAATTCCAGGAATCAAGTGGGCTGGGTTGAATGCAATCTGTTCCACCTCGGCGAAGTAATTTTGCGGATTTTCGTTGAGGAAGAACTCTCCGACCTTGCGGAGCTTGAACTGGCTCTGAGGCCAGACATGAGTGAGGTCAAAGACGTTGATCTTTTGATTATCCCAAAGGTCCTCGGCCTCCTTGGCCGTCATGGTCTGAACCATGACGTCCCAGCCTGGGAATTCGCCCTTCTCAATGGCCTGGAAGAGATCTTTGGTTGAGTAGTCGGGACCATAGTTGGCTGAATCCTCCTGCGTGATGAAGCCTGTGCCCTGTTTGCTCTTGAAATGAAGTTGCATGTATACCCAGTCGCCGTTCTTGTTGAGTAGCTTGTGGGTGTGGCCGTGATAGCCGTGCATTTTACGATATCCATCTGGAATACCACGATCTCCAAAGAGAATCAAAAACTGATGTGCGCTCTCCGGATTTTCACTCGCATACGACCAAAAATTCGTGGAGTCGTCGGCATGGGTGAGATGTGTTTGAGGGGATCGCTTCTGTGTATGGATGAAGTGAGGGAATTTGGCCGGATCACGCAAGAAGAACACTGGAGTATTGTTTGCAACAACATCCCAGTTTCCTTCTTGGGTCCGGAACTTCACTGAGAATCCACGAGGGTCTCGGGCGCAGTCGTGAGAGCCAGACTCGCCACCGACAGTGCTGAAGCGTGCCGTGACGGAGCAGGTTTGGCCCTTTTGAAAGAGGGGCGCTAAGCACAAGTCCTCAAGGGAATCTGTCGTTGTGTATGTGCCGTGGGCACCGGCTCCTTTGGCGTGTACGACACGCTCTGGGATACGTTCGCGGTCGAAGTGAGAGAGTAGGTCGATCAGGTGATGGTCCTGAAGAAGAAGTGGACCATTCTCTCCGACACGCTGGGTTTCGTAGGGATGTGGGTAAGGAACTCTGTGGACTATGTTAGTCTTTTCCTGACAATTTCATCCCTGTTGAAGATACATAATAGGAAGCCCATGTAGAGCGCACAAAACACCTACCACTCTCCTCCACAACGCAGCCTTGCTATGAAACAACAAAATACTTACCCATTAGCTGTAGTATACACAACATCCTCTGATGAGGCATTGCGGTCATCAGCGTAGTCGCGGAATAAGTCTCCAGTCTTTGTGCCAGTTGGACCATTCGCACCGTGACCGTTGGTAGAGCAGCCATTGGTATTGCCGTTGGTCTGACCATTTGTTCCGTTGGTACTTGAAGTCATATTGGGCAAGAATGAAGATAATGTGCTTAACATTGGAATTAGGATCAAATAGCAGACGGCGTTAGGCCACGCTCTTATACCAGACCATCTCCACGCCGTTGCACTCCGTCAATGCGGCGACCAGCCACTGACCCGCATATGCGATGACGCCTTGAGATGGACCCATAGTTTTCTAGCCTCAAGTGAGCTATGCATATCAGGCTAGAGCTCCCGTCCGCAAGATGGCAAATCGGTAGATGTGCGATCAAATATCGATGCTATTTTGTTCGGCAGTGACAATGGCGAAGTTTTGATTGGGGACAACGGGATCGTGCATACATCTATCCCGTCTGAAGCCACTCGCCGTCTCATACATCAGCCGCTTTTACTTGGGCAGTGATACCAGTAATCCCAATGAGACGAGGTGGATTGTAGCGCGTGTGTTGTGACGCGTTGGCAGAGGTCGAGGTTGTTGACGAAGTTCGCCCCATCCCGATTCGGCCCTTGTGACATCACCATCTCATGTCGCATGGGAATTCAAAATTCAGTATCCACATTGGCGAACGAAGCTTTGTCTGAATGCCTTGATTGCCCATGATGCACACTGGCTGACTGGGCATCAGCTTTTCGGGGGCTAGTTTGCCACATTTTCTGCTATTCGAACTACTACTACGCAGGGCAGGCATTTGCAATATCAGCATTCGTGTTTGCTGAGGGGCGAATACTGTTCTGGCTGGGTTCCTTGTTGACACATCAAGATACCAGTGCTCCACGATTTGAACAAAATATTCAAGTCAACGTACGACTTATACTTTGATGGAATATGGAATTGTCCTTTGCGCAGCCTCATATTGCAGTCCCGTTTGTAGTGAATACTGGTGGCGACATGTCATCGTCCTCGAGGGCGAGCGTCATCTCATGGACTGACTTCATTTCCAAAACTGGCGCAGCTGTCTTCCCACCAAGTCTTCGAAGAGCCTTGGACAGTATAGTCGACCAAATGGAAGAAGTTGTAGTGCTTCTCTTAGACATGAGCGAGGTAGTAGTTGCTCTTGCAATAAGGAATAAAGAACGGGTCGTTGGCCAAAGCAATTGAGCCTGTCAGTCGCCACAGGCCCGCTACGCTCGCCCCAAAACTTTGTGGGAAGACTTGGTCGCTCGAAAGACAAATCAAACAAAGTAATCGAATCGGCACCCCTATGCTTGCTATCAGCAACTGCCAGCTCGTTCTACCGCCACGGTCTTGAGAGACGAAGGCAATGTATATGTCTTGGTAGGTCAGTGAATGGTGTCGAGTTTTGGAATCAAACAAGCCAAATCTGCCCAGGATAGAGACCAAGAGCACTGCTGTTTGAGTCTTTCTCAACGACTTAATCATACAACCTCCAGATTTCCCGATCGAGTGGCCTATCAGGTTGAGGAGCTTCTTTGCAGTGTGCCTTCACGTCAATGGTGCTTCGATCGCACTTCTTCCCGACGAGATCCTTGCATGCCCTGTTCTTCACAGGCCAGCCAAACACCCACGCATAGGCCGATCATCTGCCCAGTTTTGACGACTGTGCACGAAGCCACCACCATTCTGGGCCAAAGGAATGAAGTGTACTATGGAGGTCTCTGATGGAAGATTCGAATTCTGTCGCCGAAGCCTTTCGTCGTTCATCTACCCCACACTCACCTTGGGGAAATTTACCTCACCCGGGAGCTTCATCAATCAACAATCCAATGGAGAAAATGAAGATAGATTGGGCTTCCGCAGCCCCCAATCATGAGCCAAGGTATCATCTGCGCGTAATGAGGCAGTGTATGTGCGTTGTGGACGCGCATGAGGGTTGTCGTCATGCAGACAGATTTGCGAATGGCTGGACGCAGATTCATCGCATCATTGAGGGTTGTGTGCTAGTCTGCTGGAAGTGTGACTCTCTGTTGTCTGGCAGCGCAGAAAAGGCTGCAGTTGCAATCGTCTCAAGGAGCAGGGGGTGGGAAAGATGCGCGAATCACATGCTTTCACTTCGACTGTTGGGGGCGTTCGGGGGCCAGCGGATGTGCGGCAGCGGCGGAGACACCAACTAGGACATCGCATTCTTTCTCTGCAGAACGGACCATTGCCCGCCACCGTTACTACTCTTACAGCGTGCTCTGCTGCTGGAGCGAGGATATGCACGGCAGCATACCATACCGGTACTATGCTCTCATCGCGGTACCAGCTACAAGATGGATCAGTTGCTGACATGCCAGAATACAGCCCAATCAATTGCACCTTATCTTGGACACAACTTGTCGTGCCTGGAGAAAAGCGAAAGAGCTCGTTGTAGCTAGACAAAATGACTGCACTTCGGGCCTTTTTGCCATTCGAACTGGTCGAGTGATGTCAATTCTCGTCTCGATGATGATCTGCTACCGGTATCATACATCGGAAGCAGGTGGTGTCTGTGTGAGAGTCTGCCCAATCTCTTTCTCCGCTGCACTCACTCCATTCACCCACCCAGGCAAAGAAAAGACTGTCAGATCCTGCTGGAGTACGTGTTAGGTAAACTGGAAGCTGTCGAGGCCTCGAGTCGCCACACCATCATGTGCTTTCGCCTTGGAATCCGACTCTGTCAGCTGCCACCATTCATTTACCGACCTTCCCCTTCCATGCAGCCGGCGCGAGACCACCCGGCTACCCCACAAAATCCCAGTTGCGGCTGTTATCCCACAAGTCGGCATGGACGCCATCAACATCACTATCGATAAGCCTCTCAGCCCATGTCGATTGCACCGGGCCCCAATCAACACTTGCCTGCTCATTGGCCGTCCTAATGGACAGGATATGAAGAGACCGCCTTCATGCAGCTCAGTGCCGGAAGCTAGGCGATTTGTTCCCTTCAAGACATCTTCCTAGCCATGTGCCATGACTAGTCCGAGCTCTGAGGCCATGGAGCATCTAGCTCCGGCGACGTATATGCAACAGGCACGTCGAAATGAATTTGGGCGTGTTTCGACTATATCCTCGGTGACGACAACGCTCTGGTTATAACACTGCGTTTCCTCCAGGAGCCGACCGTAGAAAGTACGCACCTTGGATCAGTTGAGTTTTTTTTTGTCAACTATCACATGCGTTTTGGCCAAAATGTTCGTGACACCAGTACTCGTTGCTCGTAATGTGTAAGCTTTGTGACAAAACCTCGACAGATATTGTATCACTCATACGTGACAGCTTGGATCCCTCAATATATGGTTCAAATCGTGGAAGCCGGGCCCGCATAGATCTTGAAGCTAGACAGTCGGTGTCATCAACAGATACCTCCTACAGCAATTTGCATCGAGCATCCTCAACGAGTTCCACCATTTCGACCTCAACGGTCGCCTCATCCGTAGGATCGATCAACCTCAACGAGAGGCCGAAGCATCGCAAACACTTCTCTAGCAGCTCCTTCGGTATCTCTAGGCGGTTCCTCAAAAAGTCCAGACCCCAAAGTCAAAGCGAGCAGGCACCAACGTCTGCGCCATTGGCTATCTCCTCTCCAATCATTCCTCCTCAGCCTGTGGCAGATCCTCTACCCGAGCCCAAATCGACTGTAGAGTGGCAATGTTCGGATCTCATGGTGCGATGCAGGAGCGATGTCTACCATGTTGATCGTTCTATCATGAGCTACCACTCGCGATGGTTTGCCAAAGTGTGCGCGGTAGTCATCACCCCTGTATGTTTACCCTGAGGTACCATCTTGATCAAGCTAACATGGGACAGAAAACGTCGAAAGGCGTCATCGATCTCAGCGCAGATGATCCCAGCGCTGTGGCTGCCATGATGCAATATTGCTACCAGCTTGACTACAGTGACCAATTAGCGGGCTGCGACACTGCAGTACCTGAGGATACCACTCTTTGCTCTCACGTGGATGTCTACATGCTTGCAGAGCGCTACGGTATCGTTGGTCTGAGGCGGTTAGCTCTCCAAAAGTATGAGGATCTTGCCACCATGGTCTTGATGGTTGATGGAAACGAAGAGCAACTCCAGCAGGCAATACGTGCCATGTACGCGTCAGAGCGACTGGCCGATGCCGATGAGCTCAAGCAGTTGTCGGTTAAGCTTTGCGCAGACCACGTGCAGTCCTTTATTCATGGAACTGGAAAGACCATGGCAATGGTGTTTGAGTCAATGGATGAGCTGCCGGATTTCAGAGCAGATCTGTTCGAAGAGATGGCCCGACGATGGAGGTGAATATGGGCGCCCGGCTGGCAGTCCCCGTTTGCCATTCCCTTACAAAATGTAGCTCCGTACCGTCCACCCTTGTCTTAGCGTTTCCATGGCTATTCGGACCCCTCACAGTCGCTACCGTTGGACCCTCAAAAGCGGCACTAGCTTGTACTCCTCCGACTTTATGACTTGAAGCCGTCTTCACTCTTGGCGTGACCGCGCTATCGTCATGCACATCTAGAAGACAAACGCACCCTCTGCCAGTGTCGCCCGTAGATGACGTGGTCAGCAATTGGCTGGCAGTAAAAGTTTTCCAGGTCCAGACGACACATAACTTTCTCACCTCCACGAGTACCACTGTCTTTTGAGTTTTCATTCCCAAAAACAGCTTCAACAATCTTTACCTTCCCCAAACCAAACAATGGGTTATCAAGCCCGCAAGCGCGCGTTCAGTAAAGCTTTCCAACCTGGGCCTCTCAACGAGGTCTATCGTCGAGCCATTCGGAAAATCAGCGGGTCGTCACTGCTATCACCTTTTGCATTGTCAGCTCAGGCCAGTCACACACCTGCAACGAACTTCGTCACCGACACCGACATCGAGAACCAGAACCAGAACCCCTCGTCAAAGGGTCAAGCTCGGGCTGTTGAGAGTTCTGAAGCTTCCCAGCTTGGTGTTCCGGAATTTGGTTTCGATTTTGATTTCGACTTTGATGCCTCACTGACTGGAAATCCAAATATACAGGACTCAGAGTCCAACCCCACAACCGGCACTGCCGGTAGTCATGTCATTGTCGAGCCCACTGATGCGCCGCTTCCGTCGATGGCAGACCATTTATTTCACTTCTCGGCTAATAAAGAAGGACAAGCATATTCTGATACATACGATTCGACTGCACTGAAGTCAGTAACAGACACCACTTCCAGTCCGCCAAGCGGTCCAGTTCTGGGAGCTTGTTTCAACCCCGACTTCGCCATCCATGAAGATTCTGAAAACTCCGATGAACCGGTTTTCACTGTGCCCCATCAAGCAAGCAACACAGGGGCCCTTACGCCTACCGCTCTCAACTTTCAAGACCTCTCGCTGTTCGATGGCCCGGACTGGTCGCAGATCAACACACTTTCCAACGCTAGGCCCATAGCGAATCGTACTTCGTACTATACATTGGAATCGGCTTTGTTCAAAAAGTAAGGACATGACACCTCTGTCACAATCTGCGCGCTCCTAACATAAACCCAGACACGTGCCCGATCTCCAATCCACCGACATCATCATCTCCTTTGGAAAAGGCAAACAGCACCTTGCAATCCGCAAGCATATCATCTGCGCATCATCCCCCTACTTCGCCAAACTCCTCAACGTCGAATATCCCGTAAGTCGCTCCCCACCCCTCTTCCCACTCCCCAACCAAACCCACACAAAGATCCCTCTAACAAACCTCCCCACAGCCCACACACACCCAACTCCTCCGTCTCCGCGACGACTTTCCCCCCGCCATCCCCGCAACCCTACACTTCCTAACCCACGGATCCTACCCCTTCGACTCCACAACCCTTCTTCGCTACCCCGCACTCTCCCTCCCAGACCTCCACATCCACACCTACCTCGTCGCACAAAAATATAACATCCCAACCCTGCACTCCCACGCACTCACCCAGTACATCGACTTCGCCCACATCATCCTCACCTACGGTTTCGTCTGGCCCACAACCCTGCCCTTCCACCCATACACATGCACGGGAAACATCCTGCTACCCTCACTCCTCCACTCCTTCGTCCTGTTATGGCGCAACACCCCCAATCGCCACGACGCGTTGCGCTCCGCTGTGCTCGACTGCCTCGTCAAGCCCTGGTTGAGCAGCTGGGTCAAAGTCGAGTATTTCGTGGACTTGCTGGAGTGCTTGGCTGGATTTAGCCCTGATTTGTGTGCGAGTTTGGCGGAGGATGGGTTGCGGGTGGGTTCGTTTGCGGGTGGGAACGGGCGGTGGAAGATTGGGTTTGGGGAGCAGAAGTGGGGTGGGGGCCAGTGGGTTGATCGGACGGTGTGGGATAGGTGTGGGGATGAGTGGATGGGTGGGGTGGGGGGATTGTATTGAGGATGATGGGGTGGAGGGAGCTGTGGTATACCTTTGTTGTTGTTGTGCGAGAAGCTGGAACGTGCGATGCAGAGTAGACCGCCAAAATGCGCGAGGCGTTCAAACAGGGGTAAAAAGTACAGAGTTGCGATGGGCCATTAACCTGTCCTGACAACACGCAACAGGAAGCCAATCCATTGAATGAATATGATACATGTTCTTTGTTTTCAAAATTTTCTACATTGTCCTGGGAAGAAAGCATCCACCAACACCAGTGACATAAAATACCACACATCAATCGACGGGGGGTATTATCTAGCTATCAAAATCAAATGCCTCTTATTCGCAATGCCCATATCCTTCTCCCCTATGTTACTGCTTACTGCGTCTTCTTGACCCCACCCCGAGCCGGTGCACTGTACAACCACACCACCACAAACGCCAGCCACCCGGCGACGGTAACCCAAATACCTGCAATCCACACCCACGCACCACTAATCTCCCAACTCCTTGGCCACTCGTTGTGTGCAAAGTGGCGCACAGTGACCTGTCTCTTCTCGTTGATGTTGGTGACAAAGGGGCGGCGGTACTTGAGGTGGAAGTTGAAGATGCCGTGTTGATCGGGCGTCTTGAAGCCGACGCCGAAGATGGTAGCGTTTGCGGTTTGAGCAACGGGGGAGAGATTGAGGCGATGGAAGGGGGAGAGCATGGAAAACTCGAGCTGGAGGGCGTCGGTTGGGGGAGGCACAAAAGGGACAAGGTGGTCTTTGTCGTATTCGGAGATCTCAACTTGGTAGTGCTGTTGCAGTGTTAAATTGGCTCTGCTGACTTTAATCACGTAGTGGGACTTACAACATCCGACTTTACGCGGTAGATGCCAGGGTTGTTCTCGGGAATAGCGTGGCTGATGTTCATCTTCTTGCTTACACCCTCATCCTGGTAGTGAAGAATCTTGCCCACGCTGACAACACCGGTTTCCTTGAACGTCCAGGCCGACAGCTTCTCTGCAAAGAGGCGATTGGCAGTCGTAATGGCTTTACCGTTCAACTTGGCCTTCTCGGCGAACCACTTGTTCTGCAGCATTCCAGCCGAGCCAACGACAGTCAAGCACGCCCCATTGTTTGCCTGGTGCGCTGAGACGAGGTTGAGCTGGCTTCCAACGGCGAAGGGGTCCTCTACACCCTCAGCCTCGTCCTTGGGGTTGTAGCTGTACGCCGTGCTTGGTGCGCGGAGAATGGGCGAGATGAGGGGCGATTCGTTTCCAAGGACCTGGCCCACGGCGCCCGGCACCGCAATGTGGCCATCACCGGCGAAGTAGTTCTTGACATCTGGACGTAGCTGGCCGGGGAAGGGCACCAGCAGAATATCGTGCTGCTCCGACGCAGAAACAGAGTCGTAGTTGAAGTGATCCACGACCGTGGTATGCTTGTCTGAGGGAAGGACAATGTCGAGCTCGAGCAGTAGGGCATGAAGAGCTGCGGGTGTGGCCTGTTGGTCAGATAGACCAAGGAGAATGTTGCCCTCCTTCTTCATGAACTCTAGGAGAGTGTTCGCGGCCAGCGCAGGGCCGAGGCCTTTCGATTTCGCGGGAAGGAGCACGACATGGTCGTATGCGCGCTCGCCGTGCTTGAGAAGAGAGAGGCCCTTGCTCCTTGGTGATTCAATGGTTGTTGTGAAGCCTCGAGCTGGAATTGGTGCGTTAGCAATGGTCAACTGACTACCATCGAACAAAACTGGTTGCAATGATGTTGCTCGTTGCGAGGCTGCAAGCACGAGTAGATGTTGAGTCTTGAACTCGCATTGAGACATGATTCCAAGCCTTCAACATCAACTTCCACTAGATCGCACTCTCCACCCACTGCCACCCTCAATTACACACTTACCACTCAAATCCTCCAAAAACACACTATACTTCTCCTTCTCCGCCTGGTCCTCCAACACAACCAGCAGCCTGTCTCCAGTGAAACTCCTGGCCTGCACCCCAACCAGGCTAACCACCGATACCGCGATGGAAAAGAACCACCTCATCTTTGTCGGGAAAAAAAAAGAAGGTTTGTGATGGACAAGATTGGATCTGAATTTGAATCTCGGCCATTGAAGCTCGTCGCGCAACCAAACGGGAAACGTATGCAATGCCAAGACCCTGGACCCCCCAGCATCGGTCCCGGAAAATCGCTGCACGCCGATTGGTCCGTGAGCGGGGCCTGGCGGGAGCTACTGGACAACCACCGACAACCACCAGCCCGTGACCCGTACTACGACGACGACGACGACCGAGGTCAATTGCGCCGCAAGACTTTGGCATTGAGCCTTGCCTCTGGTTCTCAACATTCCCAAACACACAGACACACACACAGTACGCGTCCACCTCCCCTCCCTATACCCCATCCCGCGCCAACTCACACAAAGCCCGTTTGTCCAGCGACAATGTCCGGCGTGCCCCCCTCTCCGCGCTTCTTCCAGCAGCCGCTGCGCTACCTGCACTGGGCCTCAATCAACAAGCCTGCCTACTTTTACTCGATCATTGTCGGTTCGGCTGGACCCGTCGTTGTCCTGACTGTGCCGCCGATTCGGAGATGGATGGGCGAGGAGCCGATTCCGAAGATTCCCATGACCTATCCCAGTACGTGCTGTGAAAATCTGGGGGTTTGGTAGTTCTTTATTGGGGAAGAGAATGTTCATGACTAAGGGAGAGGGGGGAGATGGAGAGTGGTAGATATACTGACGTTTTGTAGTACCAAAGGGACCGCGACCGAGGCCGACTGGGTTTGACGACGAGTAGACTGTCAGGGCGACTGGAGAAGGAGGAACGGGCGAATTGAGGGATTCAGTACAACACCATGGGACACTGCGACGTTGACAGAGGAGGTGGATCTTAGAAAGGATTGACTCCAAAAAATACTAAACACACTACAAGCCGTACAGATCCCATTTGTATCTTTTCGCAACCCCTCATGCTAACCCGAACAACTTATTTCGATAGTTTGATTATACTCTGGTACAGCTTGGGAGACGGACAAGAGGTTAAGTGTGTCGATTTTATTGATTAGAGATAGCCTGAGGGCATCCAACGTAGTATTGTAATATCAAGATTGGACGCTATTCTGGCCACGACACTGACCCCAGAGCGTGAGAAGAAGAAAATACAGAGTAGACAAGGGCGTGTAATCGCCTTGGGAGGCTTCTTCGCGAATAGGAGAGTCAGTCCTGATGGAACCACCAACCTCCGTCAATCGAGAGTCAGTTGTCATACAGAGCCCAGGAGCTCACCACAGACCCCAGCCTCAGTATCTCGTTCTCTTCGTACTAGGCCCAGCCTCCACCTCCTCATCAGCAACCTTTTCATACTGCTCCGCCTCATCCTCCGCGTCCTCCTGATACTCACCCTGAACACTGATACTCCTCTCCAAGTGCATCCTCGTGGTATCCAAATTCTGCCTCGCGATGTCATTCCCCCCGCGCTGAAACTCCCTCTCCTTCGCCTCCACCGGCACAGCCGCCTTCTTCGTCCACGGGAAATCCTCGCGCTGAAACACGGTACAGGTCAGATACTCGACCGGGAAGCGATGGACATCCAACTGGCACATTGTCTTGAGAATACCATGGGCTTCAACAACCTCCTTGACGCATTCCTTGATCTCGAAGAGATGGTTCTCCAGCACATTGAGCGCCTTCTTCGTCATGGGGAACTTTGTGTGGAACTGATTGATGACGGATTTATCCATGTAGGCTTCACCCGCCTCACCCAGCGCCTTGTATAGCGAAAACCCACAGTCCTTGGCCAAACGGCCTTGCTCGGTAATGAGGCGCTGACCGACCCAATGCCGGTAGAATGAAAGCGCCATCCACACGAGGATATCCTTTGCGTAGGCTTCGCGCTTGATTGGCAAGTCTTCGACAGGATGCGCGAGTTTCCCAGGGTAATGCGTGGTAACAGCCAGCTCGAGCTTGCGACACTGAATCACCAGACCGCGGTGGTACTTGTCGATGATGCCCCTGAGGCCTGGGTTATCGCGAAGACGGTCCTTGACAGTGCGGTCGAGCTGCAAGACCTTCCAGTTGCCAACGAGATGGATTATGCACTCGCGGAAGATAAGCTCAGACTTGATGCGACACGCCATGTCGATCCAGGCATGTGGCTTGCCCTGGATTGAGCGAAAGAGGTCCTGTCCATGCTTCATGAGGGCCACTTCAATCGGCTTGCTGATGAGACGCGTGCAGCCCAGGTAATCAGAAATCTGGAGTAACTGGTAGCAATCCTGCAGCGCAGTCGACATTTCGCTGTCGTCAATGGTGATTTCATTGTTGTAGAAGGCGTAGAGGACGGCTTCATACGCTGCAATGGCCTTGTCGTGTTTGGGGATTCGTCCATTTTCGTTGACAATCAAGCCGTTGCGGCCATCGGCGCGGTCCCCGTTTTGGGTGAGTTCCTGCACGCATGTGTGTCAGTTCATACAGGTGGATGTGATGAGTTGCTCGAGTGTGACAGAGCGGCGCGAGATATAACATACAACGAGAGCGAGGCGGCCGGCGGGAAATTGGGCATCAGGTAGACGGGTGAGTTCGATCAGCCAGCGAACATTGACCCCGGCGTTCTTTGCGCGGATGCTCAGTTTGGCAGCATTCTGCTCAGTGAGCATATTTGCGAGCAGGGTAGAGTTGCGCGCCAGTGTGCCAGAGTGGAACTTGTAGCGACGGTTGCGGCCGAGTGTGACCTCTACATCTTCTGCTTGATTCATGATAGTGATTCTGTCGTGGGGCGTATGGCTATAGTTGCAAGTCTTATCAATATGTCGAGCGAGAGAGTGTTTGAGTGGGTGAAGAACAAGCACAGAGACTGGATTTGTAGAGGATATGGACTAGGAAAAAGGCGGGATGCAGATGACCCTTTGGCAAAGGTGAAGGCGCTGCAAGTGAGGGCAGTAATACCGGATACTGCTGCTAGCCAGTCCTCAAATCGACTTCACGCAATACTTTGAGATTCTTGGGGCTCTGAGGGACTACAGGATTGTGAGAGAAGATAACAACGCATTATAAGGAGGTCTCGATATATTCCCGATCCTGGTGTGATCGTAGGTGAAAGGGCATGCAAACGCTACTAGGGAAGCAAATCGCGGGCAAACTGCACTATATAGCGCCTCGGGCAGGTTTTTGGTGATTGATGATAGAAAAATCACAAAAGATGGCCCAGCGTGCTCAAGAAAGAGACTCTTTGCGATCTCGATTGTCACATAGTCTAAGAGGAAGAGCGGTTTGGGACATGACCTGATAGAGACTGTGCTGCATCTCTGGCTACCCACACGAATGTTTGTAGTCTCAAACTCCATTACTCTGCAAAAAAATAAGCCACTAAAGCGTTTCTATGGAGAAGTAGACCGTGTGCATACCATATTGCAGTCATCCCCCCGTTCAGATCGCAGATATCTGTGGGCCTAATGACTACTTCACCTCTCCGCCATGTGCTCTTCGTGAACATCACGACTGTCTGCAACTCTCGAAACCTTCTTGCCATACCAAGACCTGCCAATTTCATGTGTAGCCCGGCTCTTTGGCGCCTCCTTGAAGCACAAGCCCGGATGGAACATGTTCAGAAGCAGCACCGCTGCGACGATGATAGCGCCCTCAAGCCCGACAAAGTATTTTTGGGTTAGCATCAGATGCCCTGTCCAGCCCTCACTCAACTCCGCAACACGATAGACACATCGTGTGAAGACACAGAGCGTTGAGATGATCAATGCGATGAGGAAGCCTTTAAAGACCCATGATCCCCGAAGCTCAGCGTGGTGCTGGTCGAGTGCAGTATGTGCGCCAACCTTCGAAATGCGGCGGTAGGTACGAACTGCAAAGTCCAGGGCAAGCAGCATGAATATGAGGAGGGTGAAGATCTGGAATGCGAGACCGGCAATCATGATGTGGTTTCCGGTATCGGGATGGCGATTCTCGTGACTTGCTACACTCGCCATGCCGCCGCCAGTAGCTTGTAGGATGAGAGATACCACATCGCACAGGATGAATATTAGAGGGTACGACCGAGGTTTAATGCGCGAGTTTTCCGATCCGTAGGTGGTGACGATGCGTGAAAGACAGAGGTAGATGCCCGCTGCCAGGAAGGCAGGGGCGACGGTGAGGCACACAATTTGGATGAGAAAGAAGTCCTAGACTTAATCAGTATTGTTGTGAGTAAATTGTCATTTCGCGTCATGTACCTCGTCCCACAGCAAGTCGTAGGCCTTTGCGCGCCCGATATAGCCCGCCACCTCTAAAGCGCAGCCGACCACCATGGCAAAAGTGAAGCCCCACCATTTCTTGTTCATGATACCCTGGGCCAGGAATACAAGCATGGAGACACCAAACAGGACGGCAAAGGCGATATTGGCACTATGACTGGGACGATAGCCCCAGAATGAGTCCTCGACACCACATAGCTCAAAGGTACGAAGCGAATAGTCCCCACCGTAACAAATCATTTCAGTTATGCTCGGCGCCATGGTCTCGGGTGGCATGAAGTCGGGTGCTACAGAAGAGGGATCCACGGTAGATTCTATCTTATGGAAGAGATGGATTGCTGTGGAATCCATCTTGCCGAAGAGGTTGAATGCTGTAATAGAGATTGGTAGCCGGGTTTCAGGATTGTATAGCGAGGAAGAAAGCGAAGAGTCAATCTGGATGGTGAGGGAAAAAAGTGAAGGAACAAATTGGTAGAGTAACTGAGTAGCGGAGGATTTGTTGGTGTTGGAAAACTAGTGCAGAAGGTGCAACCATGGCTAGGAAACTGCGCTAGAGGAGGCCGCAGCGCAATGAGTGCGTGCCCTAGGAAAAATATTTACGAGCTTGTACTTGCGCGAAGCTGCACAAACGAGCATGATAGTCATGTTCCAATCAAACGACGTCGCCAGAGTAAAGATCATAAGAGGAAACAAGATGATGCAAAAGTGAGCCGGCAGACCCGTCTCATGGTGAAATTCGAGTCTTGCAAGCGCCGAAACATACGACTATAACAGAAAGTCAAGTTTGGTTGGTGCTTTTTTGCTCGACAACTGTCGAAAGTGCAAAGGCACATAGGCGGACGTGAGAAATATTTGCTGCGATCGCGTTGAGGTGAACCCGGGTTTCCCATGCTCTTGCTCTCGTCAACTTTGCCTCGGATCCGACAATAAGCCATGCGTCCCAGTATCTTCACTGTCGAGACTATGCATGTGTGCATGAAACACGTGGGATAAAAATATAGCTGTTGATTGCCAGATGATTGATCACTGAAATGGTGTGGCCGCATTGACATTCTCTTCACAAAACCCTAAATCCTAAAGAGATGGAAAATAACAAGCTGAATCTTAGTGCCAAAATGCCTGCGAGACTACGACGTACAAACGAAGACTTGTTTCTGAGAGATTGTGAGCACAGCAAAGAACAGACTAACAAGGGGGTCCTACCACGATGAGCTGTTGTACGACATCTGATGGTGCACCGTACAGGGAAAGCATGCTACTAGAATGCCTCTATATCTGTCACCAGCGAGGCAAGCCTACTACACGCCGAACTGGGAAAATCTCACTTGATTTGTGCTTCACAAAAACGGGTATACCCTGTCATTCATAGAGGGGCCCATTGTCCCGTGATGGTTGTTATTGGTATGTGAGACTTGAAGATGCGAAGGTGTACGACTTGTGACCATACGGTAGGACGGCAGAACGTGGGAATTCGGTTGTCATCAAACACTGAGAACTCATCGATCGGAGCTTTCTGTTGTGAATTCGTGGCGATACTGATGTGAATGATGCTCGGGATCGTCCTAGTGTTCCACATGCTGGCAAGCATGTAGGTTCTACGACTACTTGCCACTTGGGCTTTTTGCGTTCTCCTCTTTCGATGCCAGGAGCATTGTTCTTCGAATTGGCGTTTTCGTGGTCCAGACCAGGATTGCGATCTTTTTGTGTTGTCGTGGAAAATGTAGCCAGTTGGACAGCTTGGTCTTTAGTACCCAGTCATGTAAGACAGTTCTCTCGCCAACGGAGCCAAGATTCATGTATGCTACAGCGACATGTTCTGAATTACGACCTTTTGAGTTTGAAAGGTCACAGCAAGGTATCTCTCGCATGCTTCGTCACTTAGGCTGATGACGGCGGTGATGGTGGTGTTGGAACGGGAGATTCGAGGCGAGTGTTCTCGGCGAGCATACGCCCCAATACAATGCCAACCCCTTCGATGACTGCAAGTAGAACAGCGCAGCCGATGGCATTATTACGTGCGGCTCTTGCGCCACCACGCATAGCAAGTGCTCCGCCGGTCAGGAAGCCGCCAATGATGGCATTCCAAGGGTCTTCTTTTTTTCTATGCCGACTTAGTACTGGACGCCGAGATGAGCAAAGTTCGTCGGTTCCTCGCAATGCGTACCTCAGTCCTCTGACAGCACAATCGAAGGAAGAGAACAGTCCTCCCCAAACACCAAAATTACCGCCCAGTACAGGAGCGCGTGCTTTGATCGAGGCGATTGCATTGATACGCCGTTCGCCATAAGGGGCGTTACTACCCTGAGTATTAACACAGAGAATAGAAATCTCAATTGATGTCGACCGCACCGAAAGCCTTTGATCCCGTGCCAGATGGAGCCCCCAATGGCCTGTGGCTGTTAGCACGTGTACCCCCACGCGTGACGTACCGCTACCTGGTCATGGTCGATACTTACACCCATAGAAAAGGCTCCACCAAAATCGTTCAGACACACCCATGGACACGGGTCACGGCTGTGGTCCATGGTCATTGTGGCATGAAGATGGTGCAAGCTTGGCAGCCACCCAATTTGTTCCAAGATTTTGACTACGGTAGTTGGAATGGATGCGTTGCAATGCGGGGTTTGACAGATGGCAGCGAAAGACGCAGGTACGCGTGGGACATCGGAGGGAGGTTTGGCCGGACGCCGAAACCACAGTATGTACTCTTACGGTGAACACCAATAGGAGTAGGCTTACCTAAGTAATCAATCCTACCTACCCAGTAGTGTAGGTAAGTATAAGGACATGGGCTGGAACTGTCTCCAGGGCTGACCCAAGCACAGGTACGAACCTAGCCCTGAAAGGACCGTTCGACGTCTGTCAGGGTCTTGTCTTGAGGCTCCTCGTAACGACGTACCGGTACAGTTGGGAACTTGAAATCTTGCATATGCATGACTTGATGTGGAATGGGACAGGATGGAAACGCATCGTGATTACCAGGACGGTCCAAGTCTGAGACGGGGATACTACTTGTCCTCCTTGTTATGATGAACGATTTCAGAGGGGGCGTATACTGGTAGCCAGCTCTACTCACACATGTCATGTATACTTTATCAGTATCGTGGAATGTGAACCTGGGCTGTCTTGCGCAAGCTTAGCAACATCACCAGGCAACAAGCAGGTAGGTACAGATGGTGGCAGACAAGAGACAAGCTGCTGTGCAGTCGTAATCACCCGAAATTGCTAGAAGCCATGTGAGACAGCGCAACGGCCTTGGGGGGGCGGACAGAAGCGGAAGAAGAGAAACAGTATGGCGAATGCCATTTGTCATTGGGGAGAAACGAGATGCGAAGCAAGGAGCAATTACCGATCCCCATTGGAGATAGCGTCCAACAGCACGGTCATCGCAGGGACGATATGCACGGCTACGTCGCCCTCTGCCCACGCTCCGTCTATCGATTGGTACATGCCTCCTCACTGTTGCTCTCCTCTCCTCCTGACACTGGTTGCGTTGAATATTGGGGAGATTGTCTACTTGATAGCGTTGCCGTTTGCGCGAAGCTTCGAGGCCACCATCCACGCCTACGTGGGTCTTGGCGGCGGGCGACCTGCCATCACTCATCCTCGGGCACCCACTGTCCATCACTACTACACTCATTTCGACTCCCTTTGCCATATCATCTTGACCCCTTGTACTTCCTTGCTGTTGTCCTTCTACCGATTTGTCATCGACCTGTTTTGAGTGAGTCCGCTTCCTGCGGGATAGAGGGGCTCTCCACTAACTGCCACCAGAGCCGACATTCGTGCGGCGCACAATACATTCGAATTAGGTGCGTGAACTCCAGTGGCCACCACCCTTTCCGTCGAGCCGCTGCCTACAGAGCAGAGCAAACCACGGAGCTTGCGCATGTTGGCGCTTGGGACTTGTCTCAGCTGGGTACTAACGTGGGACAGACCGGCACGGTAGAGGAGGATTTTGAATTTGGAGTAGAGAGCACGACACCACGCGCTCTTGGTAGAACGGCGCAGACGGAAGATTTGCCAGTATGGCAGCGGCGACTGCGGGTAAGCACCGGGAGCTGTAGTGAACGCCACACAGCAATCTCCTCGCGATTTCCCTTTTTGTCCTCCTTCCCCCCTCCCCTCCCCCACCACAAATATGTCTCGTGTGAGTTTGCTCTCGGCTCTCGGCACCTATCTAACCTGGATCTTCCTATTCACAGGCTACGAGTGGAACCGCTCTTCGCCACTGCGCTCCTCGCCCGACACGTCGTCCTCCATGTACCCCGACCGGCCCATACGTCCCATGCCCCGACGATCTCTGCGCGCCCGTCTGTCTCCCGAACAGGCCGACACGATAGTGTTCCCGCATAACCCACCTTCGACAGGTCCGCTCTTCAACTTCCCTTACTCGGCGAATGAGCGTGGCAACCGGTCTTTGAGGACAGGCGAGAATGACCACCATGCGTGCCACTGTGGGCACACACACTCGGAAGTAGAGAGCGAGGAGGAAGAAGACGAGCGCAACGGACCGCTGCCTTCGTCGCCTAGCTACCAGTACCGGAGGGAGCTAGCGCCCGGAAGGTCGGTGGCAGGCGCAGGTGGCCATCACAAGGCCGGCTCTACGTCGTCGTCTGTGGATGGTTATGAGTCATTCGAGAACACCAACAACAAGAAGAAGCGCAAGATCCCGAACATGGGCAGCCACAGCTCACATCAGGCGAATGTGTCGGCCGACATGGCATCCCTAGCCACTACGCCTGCCCACGAAGCAGGAGGGGCGGACGAGGGCGATGGGCCAGGACGCTACTATGGCTCTGCGCCCTCGACGCCACAGCATAACAACAACACCAGCACATCGGGCACAGGCATATCGGGCGCGGGTCGAGGACGTTTTGGAAGGTCCGTATCGGGACGGTCAGAGCGGCGGGTGTTGGGCACGTCAACGAGCCTCGCCAACGCCAAAGCGAGTAGCAAACGTACGGTGGCACCTCGGGCCATGATTCGACATCTGGCACAGAAAAGAGTCCGTGCGCTGACTATTTGTTCACTAGGTCCTCCAGAGCAGAGCGGTATCATCTCGACTGCCATTGCCAACGCACAAGCGACCCCGCCCCCCCACGGCAACGAGAACGTGAGCTTGTTGCAGCAGGAAGCCTCCAAGAACAGCGCAAATAAGACGCAGTTCACCTTCACCTGCGGCTCCGACTCGGCCAACAAGATGGTCTGGCCGGGTCAGGAGAACGGTCACTACCCCCAGCCGCCTGGCGCATACCCGCAAAATGCAGCATCGCCCTCACCCCACGCCCAGACGGCACGTGCGCGACCTCCCGTGCGGCCAGATGCCCCCGCCGTGTCGACCCAAGGCACGCAGACGAGCCCCAACATGAACGGCGGGGCCTACCCTGCCCACGCCGCCAGGAACGCTCCTCCTCCAAAGGGCGGCCCGCCGCCTCAGCCTGCCCCGCCGCCACGCAAACCCAGACGCAGTGCCGCCAAGCTGTACGAGCATGCTGCGCGCAAACGCCAGATTCAACAAGAGTACGCCAACTTCCACAATCCCCCCAGCCAGCCCTGGATCTGCGAATTTTGCGAGTATGAGGACATCTTTGGCCACCCGCCCAGGGCGTTGATTCGGCAGTATGAGATCAAGGACAGGAAGGAGCGAAAGCGTCTGGCGGAGAAGCGTCGTTTGCTGGAGAAGGCGAGAATGAAGGGAAGAAAGGGGAAGAAGGCGAGCAAGAAAGCACAGAACAACGCCAACACGGGCCAGCACAACCAGCATGCTCCTCCAGACGGCTATGCTCGAAGGGATGACGATGGCTCGCTGGATGCACACGATGACGACTACTATGACGATTATGACGACGCTCCACCTGTCACCCACTGTCCACATGGCTGTCAGCATCACCCGCACCCTCCGCATACTTCTTCCCAGAAGACGCAGGGTATGCCACCTTCTAGGCCAGGTGGGACGCCCGTTGCGAATGGCGCCTAACAAATGGACAAGACGGGGTGGGCCGTCCTTGTTCCTGCGTTTTGTTTTTTGTTCACGTTTACTTGCGCTGCTTTCGTTATCGGACGGTGGAGATACTATGCGTTCTTCACGCGCGATCCATTCTGCATATTCGGGTTCAGAGGGAAGGAGCTGTGAAACCTGGCGATAACGTAACCACACTGGTTGCGCCACAGTCGCCATTCCCCCCTACCATGCTCGGCCGACTTTTTTACCGCCCCCCTACCCCCTTCCCCCTTAACGAAAGGATCGATCGTTGCATTTCCCTCCAGCGATTCAGCATTCCTGTTCATTCCCTTTAACCAACTCGAGCCTGATGGTACTGTCGTTACCGACCGAATACGACTCACGATGACCCAATCTCAACTCCCTGTCCTCACTTTCAAACAACACTTATGACAACCCTGGAACACATTATTCAACACTGCAAATGCGGTGAACAAGACATGTCAGCACCCAATGGAATACTCCTGTCCCGTGCGATGAATTGCATAGTTCAACGCCCGCTCGAGAGTTTGCTGTACGGCCTTGGCGTCTACTATACAACATACATGCAATAGAAGCTCATGCTTCATGTTGGATATAGTCTTCAAAGTTGGATTTGTGCCACCGTTCGCGGTGCACAGTTTTTAAGACTGTACATAGCCCAACAGAACATAGATACACCCAATTCAGACGAAAACCTCAATCACTTTCTTGTACGTCTCCGTCGTTGCATTTGGAGAAAACGGCTCATTGCCGCGGTCGCGGGCCGTGGACGGATGTGACGTGATTGTGTCAGATGAGGCTCTTTCCCGCTTCCCACTCGTTTTGCTTACCAATGACAATGGCAGGAGCTCCGCTGACCGCCCACAAGGCCGCCCCTAGGTGCAACCCCCGATTCTGCCGAATTTATACCCCGCAGCCTGCTTGCATCGAAGTCTATCTGGTGGTCTCCCACTTCGAGACCTAGTCAAAATTTCCAACCTAATAAGATTCTACCAAGTTCAATCAGTGGACGCATTCCCAGTCTCTTCATCTTTCTTACTTACAACGTCAACTTTTTTTTTAAATAGGTCGACTGCAAAGGCTGATCAAGCCCCGCTCTAATACTACCGATACCGTAATGGCTAGCAAAGAAGTTCACAAGTACGGTACCAACGATGGCTGGCATGGCGTCATTGAGGAGGGGGGAGAGTTCCCGCCGGAGAAGGATCGGTATCATCTCTACATTGGTACAGTGGCGTTGTCCTTTTCCATCACGGCCTCACGGCCCATTGCTTTTGCGCCCCAAGGGCAATCTAACAAAACCCAGGCCTCTTTTGTCCCTTTGCCCACCGTGTGAATCTAGTCCGGCACATCAGCCATCTCCAAGACATCCTACCCATATCCATCGTCCGCGCCTACCCAAAAGATGAAGCAGGCTGGCGCTTCGACGAAACGTACCCAGGATCCACCCCCGACCACCTTTTCAACAGCCGTTTCCTGCACCAGCTCTATTTCCGCGATGACCCGGCCTACACGGGAAAATACAGCGTGCCTGTACTCTGGGACAAGAAAGCCGGCCGAATGGTCAACAACGAGAGTCTGGAAACGATGAAATGGCTCCCGCGCGCCTTCTCCAGCCTCGCGCAAGAAATCCCCACCATCCGCACCCTGGACTTGTACCCCTCTGCACTCCGAGGAAAAATTGACCAAATCACCCCTTGGCTCACCTCGCTCATCTGCTCCGGCGTCTACAAAGCCGGATTCGTCACCGAGCAATCTGCGTATGACGCCAATGTGGTTCCCATCTTCGCCGCACTCAACAAGCTCGAAGCCATTGTCCACGCCCACGGCGGGCCCTTTATCCTGGGTTCCCAAATGACAGAGTTGGATATCCTGGCGTACCCTACCATCGTTCGCTTCGATACAATCTACGTGCAGCATTTTAAAACAAATCTGGGCATGATTCGCCATGATTATCCCGTGTTGCATAACTGGCTCAAGGGCTTGTATTGGAATACCGAGGGATTCAAGGAGAGTACGGATTTTGTGCATATCAAGGAGAATGTGAGTTGACATTCTTTTGTTTTCTTAATCTCCCCTTCATCCCCTGGTTTAGGCAGTCTTAGGAAAATGGATGATGGTGGTTATGATGCTGACAATTTCTGTTCTTCTATGTGTGTAGTATACCAAGAGCCACAAGGATCATAATCCTCATGGAATCACGCCAATGGGGCCGTATCCGGATGTGGAGGAGGGGTATGAGGAGGATTGGAACAAGTTGAAGCCTGGGCAGGTGAGGCATCCAAAGGTTTTGGATGCGATGAGTAAGCTCTAAGGAGGTGGGAAGAACATGCGACGAATGCAAGTTACAATGAGATTTTTTTTTAGAAAATAACGACGATTGACTATTGATACTGTTTATTTACAAATGCTCATAGGATGAAATCCTCCCCACTCACTCGGCCCTGCATAATTTTTAACTACAGCACTTCAACTCCTCGCAGAGCACTCCACACGGCACCCCACACTTATCAACACTAGGTCTCGCCGTACTCGCCGCACTCGACCCACCCAAACCCTCCTTGCCCTCCCCTCCATCCCGCTCCCTCCCCCCAGCAAGCTCAGGCTGCAACGTCGCAGAATGAATCCCATACGCATGCAGACACTGGGCAAACACCTTCGCCTTGTCCATGAAGCTGCGAACATCCGCATCCTCGACCACAACATGCGCAGTCGCAATCGCCTTCTTCTGATCCAAGCGCCAAACATGCAATTCATGCACACTCCTCACGCCCGGAATACTTTCCAAATCGTGCTTGACGTCCTCGATGCGCACGCCGAGGGGCGCGGATTGCAGGAGAATGGTGCCGGCGCGCCTGGTCAGGGGCACGGCGGAGAGGAGAATCATGAGCGCGATGACGGTGCTAACGGCGGGGTCGGCATAGAAGCGGGCGGGGGATTTGAGGCGCCAGATGATGACTGCGGAGATGATGACTGCGATGTTGTTGAGGGCGTCGCTGAGGACGTGGGTTAGGACGGCGAGGATGCCGAGGTCCATGCCGTGGGCTTTGGGGGCCGTGGTGATGTGCAGATGTGAAGCATGGTTTTGGTGAGTGCTAGATGAGGATACGTTTTGTTCTTCGTCGCTGATAATAGCGGGGGCGGCGTGGCTGTGGTCCTGGTCGTGTTCGTGGAGGAAGAGGGCACTGATGAGATTGAGGGCTAAGCCGACGGAACCGATGATGAGGATGAGCTTTGGGTTGTGGACGGTCTCGATGGAGATGAAGCGCTCAATGGATTGGAGGGCAATGCTGAGGCCTAGAGCGAGGAGGAAGGCGCCGTTGAAGAAGGCACCGAGGAGTTGGGCGCGGGCCCAGCCGAAGGAGAGGGAGTCAGGTGGTGTTTTGGATTCCGTGACGTGCACGGCGACGAGGGCGACTATGAAGCCGATCAGATCGTTTAGCTGGATTGTATTCGTGTTAGTCACTGGGGATCAGGAGGGCCAGCACAAGGGGGGAGAACTGGGAAGTATGTACGTAGTGGAATGCGTCTGCTACCAGAGCAAGAGACTTTGTGTAGAAACCGACTGCGATTTCCGCCACGAAGAAGCAGAATGATATGGCTATGACTGCTCGAAGACGAGTTTTTCGAGACAATTGAGAGCCTTTCTTGTGGTCATGTTGATGTGCCTGGCTCCCCTCGTGGCCATGTTCGTGGTCGTGGGCGTGGGCCATGGTGTCGTAAGAAGAAAGTAGTAGGAGAAAAGGATGACGGTAAAGGAAGCAGGTTGAAGCGAGTAAGAAAGGACTTGAGGAGAATATGCGTCCTGAGTAGGATGGCTTGAGCAATGGAGGATATAGTACTTATACCCAACGTAACACCATAAGAGTACCTGCGAGTCCGCACAAACATATACCGACAAGAGATCTCGTGTTACAATCTGCTGTCCCCATGCCGCTCCAACATGGATAGAAATCCATGACATATCAAGACGCGAGCGTGTCGTTCTTGCAGCAGCCTTGAAACCACGGCATGGGCATTCGCACTTGCCGCTGATGTGCGCACATCGAGACACACGGTGTGTGACACACAGTCTACGATATCCAAGAAATCGGTGGAAGATGCCTTGTAAAAGCTTGAGCGTACTTGACTTTTGGCTAGCCCATCCTTAGTCCGTGAAGGAGCAACGTCACGTGGAAACGCGGGTACCTAGCTCAAACAAGCTTAATGCAACACCCGCTGCTGGCGCCGCCCAACGGCCTGGCCTGGACTTGCACACCCCGCGAAAGTAACCAACGCCTGCTTTCCAACCCTTGTCGCAAAATAAATCTCTCGAGGGGAACGGAACCATCCCCATTCCATCCCTCACGCCCCCAAGAAACCCCGTCTTCTCTCTCTGTGCAAGCTCGCAAGCTTTTCTCGAAACCCACGACGAAGGAACTGACGGAGCTACAAATCACTTCAATCTCTCACACTTTGAAGGCTTCAAGTCACGCCAATAAACATAAAAATCCGGCTTACGGACTAGCACACCAAACTTGACCGCCAATACACACCACATTTTACCTGCAAAAATGGGTAACGGAGCAAAGTAGGTTGCAGTTGCCCTCCCCATCCCCCGCTCCCTGCTTTCCCACCTCCTCCCAGGACAACGGGTCCCTACAGTATTGCCATGCCATAGCAGACACGCTAACCCACGCACCCCAACAGAGCCCAGCAAAAGCGCGACCGCAAAGGCGACTCGGGCCCCAAAGAAGCAAAATCCCAACTCAAAGCCGTACGTCCCCTGCCCCCTTCTCTCTCCCCCCACAACACCCGCGGCACCCCAAACTAACCACCCCTCTTCCGACAACTCCCTAGAACGCAGCGGCCCAAACTATCAAATGCAAAACCTGCTTCCAAACCTTCCAAGGCACCACGAGCCGCAAGATGCTGGGCGACCATGCGAGCAACAAGCATAGCAAGGACTTCTCCGACTGCTTTAATGAGGGGGAAGGGGTGTCGAAATAAGGAGTGGAAGACATGAGGTTGGAATGCTTGAGCGTGGGAGCGATCGGCGGGTGTGAGATATCGTGGTGCTGGAGGGGCTGGGGAGGGAGTTTAGTGGAGTTGTGAGAGGTGGTTTGGGAGTGGGGTTGTCGTTGTTGTGACTGTGGACATTTGGCGACGGGGACTGGCGATGGCGTAGTGGTGCTCTTTTTTAGAGGGGGGTTTTTGGTGTTGAAATTGAAATTTGTCAAGGGGTGCGGTGCGTGCACTTTATGAATATGTGCATCTGCCATGTACTTCGTCATACTCGACAACTTGCACTTTACATCACCCGACCAAGATGACAGTGGATGTCCGAAAAGGCTCAATGAATTACAATATCGCACTGAATCTACGCTCAACATGAAAAAAAAACTCTCCAAAGACAAGATCCAGAGCCAACGCCTGTACTCATTATCCTTCATACTTATTATGCCGCTCCAGCAAGCTCATCAAAGATTTTGAAAGTTCAAGAAAGAACAAAGCGACTGCCGTGCTGAATGAATCATACCTCACAACCACCTACACACGCCCCCAGCCATTACACGCCATACACCCCTACTACTGCGTAAGCGCCCTCAAGCCCTGCAAAACCAACCCAAACATGACCCCCCTCGCCACCCTAGGCTCCTGCAACACATCAAACACCTTGCCCAATGCCTCGCCACTCGCCGCCTGACCCATGACACTCGTCAACGCCTGCGGCATCCCCTTCTCCACCAACAGCCGCCTCGCCCGCTCCCTGAGCCTCTCCTTTTCCTCGTCGCTCAACTCGCTCACCGGCGCACTCGCCAGCTCCTCGGCCGTGGGCAAGCCACTGGCCCGAATCTTGCGGATATGGTACGCGAGGCCGGCATCGCTTGTGTTGTTGTCTAGAATGGTGGTTTGCAGTAGCGAGGTGATGGAGGAGAGTTGGGGGTTGCCGGGCCGTAGGAGATAGGTTTTTGCGGCGTTGAGGAGGGTGCGGCGGAGGGTCCAGGCGGAGGAGAGGGTGTAGAGTTCGTTGATGACGGCGAAGAAGAGTTCGACTAGGACGGTGGTTTCGGGTTCTGAGAGGGGAGTCTGGGCTTGTTGGGATGAAAGGCGGGTTTTTCTGGGGGAGGATCTGGTGGAGGAGGGGGGTTTGGAGGGAGAAGAGGGTGTGGGCTCTGCTGTGTGAGAGCGGGTGGGCAAGGGTGTTGTGGCTGGATCGGATGTTGGTTGAGATTTCAGAGCCGTGGGTGTTGGGAGTGGCTTCAGATCCGATGATTGATCGGCTTGTGAGCGTGATGCAGCGTAGTCGTCGGAGATTTCGCTGGGTATAGGAGGAAGGTTGAGGATCTGATCTCCACCCATGACAGGACTCAGTTCTTCCATCTTTTCCCTCATGCTTGGTGCTCGGCTGTTGCTACGGGACGCATAAGTCGAGGACATTCCCGAACGTTTGCCATCACCGTCGGGATTATACGAGGGTCGACGCTCCATTGGGGCTTCGCGCTGAGGTTGTTGGTCGATGACAGGGGAATGTGCATCACGCACTGATTCCATCGAGGTCCGTTTGGACACCAGAGACAATGTGCTTTCTGATCGGATATGGGTTGGCAGTTCAGAAATTGTCGACTCGGCTCGGGTATGTCGTGTTTGTGCGGGTGCAGTAGACACCGAAGGACGCTTAGGAGCTGGAGTTGCACTCTCAGATGTTGGTGTACTACTGCTAGTGGCATTGTTGACAGATTCTCGTTTTTTCCCCAGAGGTGTGGTCACACTGCCTAAAACGCCAGTCACACCGCCAAAGAAAGCCTTACCGCCTCCTGCGACTTCTTTTGGGGCCTTTGAGATGACGTCTAGCATTCCTTTGCCCACAGTATCAAAGGTTTGACCGGCCCATCCCATGCCAGGGAACCCACCACTAGAAGACTTGCCAGAACCGAGCTCCTTATCCAGGAAGCGCTTCATGCCCTCGCTTTCGGCAAGTGGTTTGTACTTGACCGCATCATTGAGATAGCGTTCAAGCTCTCCTCGTAAAGATGCTTTGGTATGTCCTTTCCAGGCTGGCAAGGTAGCATGAGCTTCCACGAAACCAGTAGTGCCCGTGATGGCAGCTATGCGGCGCATGACTTCGTGAAGAGTCTCAAACTCCCCATATTTACGCGCAGTCATCCATCCCGTGTGATGATGCGATTTTGGCTCGATTTGAATAAGATATTCTGCAGTCGGCTTATTCTTTATGGTACCCTTTTCTCCTGGCACACTGTCATCGAAGATGGACATGGTGCTATTGTACAGGGTCAAGGGGGGTGGCCTCTCTACAGGAGGCGGATTGTCCGACAACGCTGTGGGCGGACTGTGTGGCACCAATTGATCGAAGCTTGTAAAAGCTTTCTTGGCTTCTTGCTTTGGTTGTTCTTCGGGTGCGAGCGTGGGTGCGGGTGCAGGTGGGGGTGTTGCAAGTGCCGGTTGCGACAAGGAACGCGTCGAGAGTCCCGATATATTCAGATCCAAGGACTCGTCCGCAGGTGTTTCGCTTTGTGAAGATGTTGGGGTAACGATACCTTGTGTTGTACTTTCTGAGTGATCATCGTTCAAGGTAGATGTTGATGCGCTTTCCCTATATTGCTCCTTGAGGCGTTTCGCGTCCTCCTCGGCAATCATCTGGCTCAGCCGCTGGGCTTCTCGCATAGCGTCATCCATGGCCTCTTGTGCTTTACTGACAACACGCTTGTGCTCTCTCCGAGCTGAAGCTGTGAGATCTCCGCCGGCTGCCCTCTCTTCTCTCGCAACAGTGTCTTTGACATTTTGCAACTGCTCGGCTGATTTCTCGACACCTGCGTCGATGGCATGCAGGAGCTCGGGTTCTCCGTCTTCCAAGAGATGTATGATCCATCCGTTGATCCACTCGGGTTTCGAGCAAGTCACAACAACCATCTCTAATATAACCTTGGCCAAAATCTGATGCAAGAAGATGCGTGCAGGCATGCAATTATACGTCTTTGGCTCCAGATAGTTCTGAAGAATGTCTTCGGCAGCAATACTGAATTGCTTGATCTGGTAGTCGTGGTCTAGGATGCTGGCGAGTGTGCTATTCCTCTTCATCTTTAGATATATGTCCACAGCTTCGCCTGGCACGTCACCCGGCGAATTCTGTATGGCAACAGAAACCTCCTGCAATAATATAATCATAAAGGAGGAGGAGCGTGTGACAAAGTCGACAAAATTATCAGCAGGTCGCTTTCGGGAGAGATGGGACGAGACAGATAGCATAAAGGCAATGAAGACTTGACGGCAGGAATCAGGAAAAGTCTCTTCGGCAGGGAGTACAGGCGAGTACCACCATCTGTATTTGTATTAGACAGAAGACGTCGTATGGACAGTGTATCGAGGACATACTTGACATAGTCCCGGATGACAGCGTCTGTCAGCTCGGTGAGAGCTGCGGCCGTCTCTGGTTTGAAGTCGGAGTAATCCAGCTTGGTGCCAGAGTACAGCTTCAGGCTGAGATTGGATGCATCATCATCACCGTCGTCGTCGTCAATATCACCATGCTTGCGGCTGCCCCTTTTCCCTTGCCCATGTTGACTCCGCCAGTCCAGCACTCTGTGCGCAATGTCCACGCCGAGCTCACGCCGCCGAGTTTCCGCGCTCTTGCACTGCGTCTCCTTGCTGGCGCCATGATGCGAGAGGGCTTCGGAATCCCAGGTGGCATGAAGGACGACGCCGCCCACGACCCCGATCAAGACCAGCCCTACGCGGCCTAATATTAGATACGTTCCGGCGCCCAGTCCCACAAGGCAGGCCCCGAGCGTTTCATTGCTTGCCGTCGCCAAGAAGTGGAGAGTGTGATCCGTGAGGGCCTTGATGTCTACCGCAGGCCCATTGTTTGCAGGTTTGGTCTCTGCATCGCTCGATGTCTTTGTTGGCGGCGAGTCATGTTGTCTCTCCCCGATCGGTTCGCATGGGCGGCGCGGAGAGGCTACCTCGGAGTCGCTCATCGTGCATGTACGCGCGCGCACATTGGGGTCGACGGTGGCCTTGGTGAATGTTTGGAGGTCAAGGGTGAATGTTGGTTACTGGCAGTAATACGGGAGACAGGAGAGGCGATTGTGGGCGTCCCCCAACCGCTGCCGCTGACTTACTGTCGTTTCATAGCTGCCGCCGTTGTCATCAACGCGCTTTCGGCCAAACATACCGCCGACGCCGTCTGGGGTTTTCCTTTCTCTCCAAGCTGACCGTCGAGTTTCAACGTCCTTTCAACACTGCTCAATCAAGCCCGCCCACCACGACCGTGAGAAACAATGTCTGCTTCCGAACCAGCAAATGACCCTGAGATCCTCGCACATGTCCAGAAGTTCTGGGAGGGTCGAAAGCCGCACAGCCCAATCTATCAGTTTCTGCTCAACGATATCAAGCTGACCCATGCATCCAAAGGCGTCGTTCGCGCTCGACTGCTATTGACCTCTAACCATGTCAACGCCCATGGCGGTATCCATGGCTCTGTATCCGCCACGCTTGTTGATTGGATTGGGGGCCTCGTGATCGCCGCTTGGGACAACCGGTCCACCAAGACTGGCGTCTCGACAGACATTCACATCTCCTACCAGAGTTCAGCCAAGGATGGCGAGGAGATTGAGATTGAGGGCAGGACTAGCAAGGTTGGGGGATCACTAGCCTTTACTACAGCGACTATCTGGAAGGTCGTGGATGGCAAGCCAGGACCCATTGTTGCGACTGGCTCACACACCAAGTTTGTGAGAGTATGAGAGACTACCACAGGCAGCCGCTCTTCTGTATCCATGAGTCGAACACGCCGTCTACTTTGGGCTCTCATTCGACATGTATGAATGAGGTTCCCACTCGGATTGCGAAGATTGACCAACTCCCTCGCTTGCTATTCCGTGTCCAGCCTCTGAGCCATGATGACACGAGCGAGCGAGGGAGTTGCACATGACGCCGTAGTATTAATTGCCCAAATTCAAGACTATCTTCCACCCGCCTCTCTGATGATCCCTCTTCCCAGTCATTCAATCGCCACGCATCACCGTGGCTGAGCTTACAACCTGACACGACCGTCTTGCACCCCCTGTGTAATATTGCCATCATTACAATAAACCGACTCAAACCCTTTTGCAACACTACACCTCCTCAACAAGATTCCCCCTCTCCTTCCCTGCTTTAAACAAACCTCCACATCGCCACTCCACAAATCCCATTACCCATCAAGCAAGTCCCACCACTCTACCCTCAAAGACCCATCCACATACCACACTTCAACCACACGGCAAACAGAGCCTTGGCACTTGCGCTACATTCCCCACGTCGTCTTCTATATCCCACGCTACTATGCCAAGACAAGAGCGTATTTGTATGCTGGCTGCTGGGTAGACGGACCCTTACAACAAACGTAGCAAGAATTTCTAGCCCAGTGCTATCCTAACCCAACTCCCCTCCCCCCTCCCCGCCCATGAAAAATAATAAACAGTCACACTACACATCTATCTAACATACCTATCCCAGGCTCGAGCAGATATTGCAACTGTCCCTAACTACTGTAGACACATACATAGTACATGAACTATGCTTTGCTTGCCTGGGACCTCGAACTTGAAATATATGCTGTAGAAGATATATCATCAAATATACAACCTAAACCCAACCCCCAAAATATCCCCCCTCCCTTGTCCCTCGGAAAAGCCCCAAGAGACAAGGCATAGTAAGAGGATAATCAGGTACAACAACTTTTC